CCAAGTCAATAATGCCAAACGGCGGATCTGATCGTCCGGCGGCACTGTGGAAGCAAGACACCGCCATCTTCTCCGACAAGCTACCGTCGACCAAACAACGGTTCTCCTCGCCGGCGACAGCTTGTCCTTCCTTTAGAATTTACTACTACGACTCCTCCGCCGGTTCCATCCCTTTCGAATGGGAATCTCATCCCGGAACACCCAAGCACCCTTCCTCCGATTTAGCTCCGCCACCTCCTCTCACTCCTCCGCCGTCTCATTTCTCATTCTCCGGCAACCAAACCCGCCGTGGTTCCAAGAAACCTATCAAGAAAATCCTCGCACGGATACCAACCAGAATCTTATGGTTGTTATCATTAGCTGATCACAATAACAAGGTCAAGAAACTGTCGGCTTCTTCGCCGTCTCTGTCGGAGAGGGTACTGATCGATGACAATGAGTACCATCTGTTCAAGTTTCAGACAAAAAGGAAAGTCACGAGAAGATTTTCATCTTTTGATGATTCTTCTATTATTGACTATCCCATCCGCAGATCACAATCCACTTCTTGCTTCGGAATTGGCAGATGTTTCATCTGGTAAATTCACTAGACAAATTTGGGAAAATAAAACGTGGAAATTTAAATAATTTTTTTTTTCATAATATATCGTGTCGGTAATAAGATAATTTAGATATATAATAAATTTCCAAAAAAGTGTTTTTTTATTTCGTTTGTGAGTAAGGGAGTGAACAGTGACAAGGAGTTACGTAACTGATCAGAAGATTATATTTAAATGTCACATTTCCATTGGGGTTTAGTGCATGATTGAACTTTTGATATTATTGTTTTGTCAAAGTGTAATATTTTTATGGTTCCGTGTAAATTGTAATCGTGAGTTTGAACAACTCTTCTTTTTTGTGTTAATTTAGCTGTCTTCCAAGCAAAGATAACACATGCAAATGGGGTTTGGTGGTTTCTTTTCCTCTTCATTGGTTTGTTTTTCTTTCGAATATGATTGGTATTCTACACTCTAATACACTCGTAGTGAAATCGCATGGAAAAATCTGAGAACATTTGGTCATTTAATACTATATATTTATTTGTTTTGAATTGCAATTCCAAAAAGAAGAGTTAAAAATTATTTTATCTTTTACTACTATGTGATAAATTAAGTTAATCTCACAAATGGATCCATGGAAGATGTCGGCTGCTGCCATTGGAACGTGTACCTCACTTTCCTACAGTGCGCGTGAAAAAGTCATTCCTCTCCCACGAATTAATATGAAAGGCCCTTGCATACGAGGCCCATGGGCCCACGTAATTAAAACTGTGTAATTTGAGATTACTTTGGGAAAAATGAATATTTAATTTTAAAAGTCTCTTCGTCTCCGGTGAGTTTAAACCGACGGTGCAGAAGACGATGCGACGGTCGTCGTCCTCGTTCCCGATACAACGACGCGGTTTGGTGTTCTCCCCACCGTACGATTATCATGATGAACTCTCTCAATCGCTCGTTTTCTATTTATTCTCGCCACCACATCCTCCTTCGACTGTGCTCTCCGTCGACGAAGATAATGACTCCTCCTTTGAGTCACCGTGGAGCCATTTCCTCAGGAGATGGCCTTTCTCCGACTCCGAAGAAGCGTGTGAGTGATTGTTCTCGGTTTCCTTTTAGCTTGCTTGTGGTTTTGTTTTGGTCTAGTTTGGCTGATTTTGATGTTAGGATGGAATTAGTAAGGCCTGAATATCTAGATCCATTGCCATGCCGCTAATCGCATGCATTTTGATTGAAAATCATCTCTCGCTTCATACTTTCAATTCAGTAGCATCTAAGTCGGGGAGAGTTTCTATGATTTTGATCTCTTTGAATTACTACCTCGCAGCTTGATTATCTAAAAGAACACATTGTGTTAATCCTGTAAAGCAGACTACTACATCGAGTGAGTCATTAGCTCAGAGGGTAATGATTATGAGGAGCAATTTCCACCACTTAATGGTTCTAAGAATAAGAATGGCAAAGGTTCGCGACCAAGTATGGTCGATCCTTCTTCTACCAACCTTTCTACTCCGAATAAGAGTTCACAGTCTCAAAATTGGCCAGGCCAGAAGGATGCTTTTCATTTGCAGAGGAATTTGGGATGTAGAAAAAAGGACCTAGGTCCGAGGAAGAGGCCGGTTTTGACTATTAAAAGATATGATACAAGTGTCCAAGAAGAAGCTAATGGGCCAACCGATGAAGTTGGCTTTGGTACTTGTTCTAATCATAATGGTAATGGCACACGAAGAAATTATCTTGATCGTACCAACCATTCTACGCTGAATAAGCGTTCACAATCTCAAACTCGTTCTACAAAGTGGAATCACAAAAATCCGGGTTGTAATAATAGGGATCAAAGTCCTAAGGGGAGACAGAAGTCGCCTTTTGACATTTGTTCTTCAGTCCGTAGAGGAAATGATAGATGCACAACAGATGAGTTTGTAGAGGAAGACGCAAACGGGGAGGAAACAGGGAAGACTGTTGAACTTAGTAACAAACACAGAGTTCTAAGGCCTGGAATGGTGTTACTTAAAAACTATCTTACGCATGATGTACAGGTATAACAGTGAAAATCATCCTACATATATCTTACATCTGTTGTAAGTAGCTGTAAACCCTTTCTTCCTTTTTACATGCTTATAGGTTGACATAGTCAAAACTTGCCAGGAGCTTGGTGTTAAAACACAAGGATTTTACCAACCGGGTTATAAAAAGCTGTTTCAAAGCTTCGTCTGCAAATGATGTACCTTGGAAGAAACTGGGATCCGCAAACAAAATACGGTAAAAACACTGAGAGAGACAGTGAGCCACCCAATATCCCTGAAACATTTAGTGTCTTGGTAGAACAGGTGATCTGAGAAGCACATGTTCTCATAGATAGAGAATCAGGAACAGGAAGACGCCGAGAGCGAACTTCCAATGATGTCACCAGACATTAGCATAGTCAACTTCTACTCAGAAACTGGAAGACTCGGTCTCCATCAGGTGTGTGCAGAACTCTTTAAAGGTTTCATCTCAGTCTTGTACAGACACTAATGCGTGATTGTTTTGGTATAAATGGGCAGGACCGTGACGAAAGCGGAGAGAGCATAAGAAAAGGGATGCCGATTGTGCCATTCTCCATAGGTGATACTGCAGAGTTTCTTTACGGAGAAGAGAGAGACGTTGAGAAAGCTGAACAAGTGGAATTAGAATCTGGAGATGTGTTGATATTTGGCGGTGAGTCTCGGATGATCTTCCATGGGGTCAAGTCCATTATACCAAACTCAGCTCCCATGTCTCTACTCAATGACTCCAACCTCCGAACAGGACGTCTCAACCTTACTCTTAGGCATTTCTAATCATTTCTCTTTTCTTGTTCTGTCACCTAGATTACAAACGAATTATCTTATGATACTAAAATCTAAATAATAATACTAAAGTTGTAATGAGAAAAAACAGTGTAGCTTCCCTGAAAAAAATAATATGGAAAGAAATCTCTCTTGAATAAATTAGTAGTATCTATATACATACATAATTGAGTCTTGTTGTAAAAACAAAACATTGGTAAAATTGATAAATTTCATTTACCATAGAGAGGAGAAGGGGGAACAAAACGCAACATCNACATTTTGACGACTTTCCCTTTCTTCTTCTCTCTCTATTGAAACACCTCACTCTCCGTCTCTGCGTCGTCGTCTCTATCATTATCAACCCCCGCCTAGGGTTTGGTTTCCGTTTCCTCTTCTTCTATATCCTTCCAGGTTTCTTCGACCTGGATTCTCTTCTCATTCTTCCGGTGCAGTGGCTTCGTTGATTGATTTCAGTTTCTTCTCCTTCGCGTAGTTTCCGTTGTTTCCATTCCCATCATCGATTTGTATAATAGCGTTAGGAGACTTGATGGTCTCTAGATTCTCTCAATCTTCCGTTACAGTGGTTACCAATCACCGATACGACGACGGACGCACCTCCACTTCCGCCGCCTCCAGTCACGACGATGGTCGTATGTCCATCATCGCCTCGCCGAGGATTGAAGAGGTCACTAGCAGTACCTATGGAAATGTCACGACCATTACCGTCGTCACTAGCATGGCATACTTGCCTCAGACTGTCTTTCTCTGCGAGCTTAGACACGAGCCTACGTCCTTGGGACCTTCCGGTACCGTCCAAGCCCCCAGATGGCGGCTCAAAGAGCGAGTAAGTCTGAGATTATGCGTGAATTTCTCTTTCAATGAATTTGGTGCAGCTAGATTTCTTGTTTTCACCAATCTATTTATCTCCTCGGACATTTGAAAGTTAGCTATCTATTCTGTTGATGCAAATAGGCTTTTTATCTTGGAAAGTGACGTTAATGTTCAAATGAACCCAACTGTCTACCTCTATTTCATCTGCTTAAGCTGTATCTGGTTTTCTTTGAGGATATCTTAAGTCTTATGTTCCTTATGTTTACGGTCGTCCTTGATGCTCACTC